CTTGGATTGTGGTGGGCCCCTAGGTGAGGAGAAAATGGGCAGGCAGGGAGAGTGCGTTTTGGTGAATCACAGGTCTTATGATGAATTAGACACAGGAGAATGATGTGCTAGCTCTTCAAGTCTTCCTTTGATAGAAAAAAATAAACAAAAAACAACAAAAAAGAAAAAAGAAAAAACTGAAGCCCTGAGCAGTTAAGCAGGTTGCCTGATGCTACACAACTTGTATGTGCGAAGATAGGATTCAGACGCAGAGTTTCTGTTTCCAAATCTCCTCTGCTCTTTTCCCTATACTCTATGGTTTTTACAGGGTGCATTACAGAGGACAAGCACGTCCAGTTCGTTTGTCAGCTGGTATCCAAAGGGGGAAGGGTTCACTTACAGGTTTTTCCAGGGGCAGAGACGCTGACGCCTTCTCCATCAGTGTAGATGGGAGTCACAGTAACCTTGTATTCAGTGTCAGGAAGCAGAGGCTTTAAGAGGAGATTGTTCTGACTTCCAGGCACCATTACCTGAACAGAAAAGCACAGGACCATGGCCTTAGTAGGACCCTCTGTCTCTTTGATTCATAAATGGAGCACAACTGCAGGCATTTTGAAATAATCAGAAACAAGATGGACTTAGCATGTGATAAGAAAGGAAAGAGCTTTCATGCAAAAGCAGTTCTCTCTGAAATTCCCCTCACAGTAACCCTTAGTTATCATCACTAATACAGGTTTAAATGTGAAGCTCTTCGGCTCTAAGAAGTATTTTCCTCTGAACGTCTTCACAGCATTTGTTAAGTATCCAGGAGTGAAAATAATGGCCTATTGGACCAGCAGGTGTTTACGGAGTGTCCATTGTATAACCCAGGTTACTGCTGATTGCTTTAGATCCTACTTAAGTAGCCTCTTGCAAATTCAGCCTTCCTTTTCTTGCCTTCTTCAGGCAGCATCTGACCCCAGCATTTTATTCTTTCAATTAGAAATAATGGATGCTGGCCAGAAGCAACAAAACCAGGCACAAAAGCCAAGTTTTCCAAGTTGAAGCAGTTAGCAGTTAACACTAAGAAAGATTGTAGCATTTTTTTTATTTCTGAAAGGAGATGTCTTCCTCCATCTGGAATCACCATCACTCTGTCTTGGAGAAGTTGCCGAAAAAGAAATGCAGCAGTGGGGTCGACCCTGCACACGCGTGAGAGCACCATGCATGTGGCACGGCAGTGCAAACTCTGGCACCCCTGAAAGAACAGCGTGGACAGAAAAGCCACGTGTCCTTAATGCTGAAACCACAAAACTTTCTGCCTGTGCTCCAGTTGTTGGAAGCTGGCACATCTCTGGGCCATTTAAGGAACTTAATCATGCTGGAAAATGCTAGGATGTAAGAACTGACCTAAACGGGTTTAAGGGAGTCACAAGACCAGGACAGCTGGAGATGCTTTTTGATTCAAAGGTTGGGTAAAATGCCAGCAGGCAAAGGGCAGTTATGTCTACTTCTGGATGAAGGAAGGTACCTATAAATCATGAAATAAGCCTTTGGAAGCCTCCAGTTGAACCCAGAGGTGCCTGTTGCTAAGATATTGCTAAGCTCTCAAAAGTAACTTTTTTTTTTTTTAATACAGATAAAGGAAGTCTGAATTAGGTAATTTTATATTAGATTATTATTATTTTTTTTTTTGCCCCTCACCAGAAAGGAACATCGAAATGTACAGGGCTGTATTGTGTGGACGTGGGGTCCTGGGAAGGAGATATAAAAGAGGGAGCGGTGCTTTAGGTTCGAATCAGGTAGACAACTGGGTGTTCAGGGAAAACTGTGTTTGCCTTGACTTGTTACCCCATCAGTGTAGCTTCCCTCAGGGTGTTCCTCTTAAATGTTCTAACTCCTCTGGAGCAAAAAGCCTGAGCAGTCATTTCAAGCTGTCTGTCTAGCAAGCCACCCATGTTGATGTTCCCTCCAGAAAGGTTATCCCACCAGGTGAGGAGTACATACCTTGGGTCTAATCAAATTGAGCCTGTAGAGTACTGAAAAGCACTATGACCATTTTGGAGGGCTCACTTAGCTTGCCAGGAAGTAGTTACTGTGGTTTATAATAACAGCCCTCAGTTTCCTAGCAATTATGTGCCTGAGGCTACTGTATTTTAATATAATAATTCACTTAATCTTCACCACAATCTTTTGGAGTAATGGGTGTCACTACACTCACTTTACAGATGGGGAACTGAGGCTCACAAGTATTCTGTAAGGAGCCATAGGGAAACACTGGGACCTGGTCTGGGGCTTGCTTTCACCATTGCCCTGTGCTTCATGGGAACTGTACGGCTTGAACCCTTTTACCCTAATGATCCTCAGGATAAAATGGAAGCCTTCTCTTAGGTATGCAAACTTCTCCCGCTAGGCCTCTTCTTGTTTGTGCAAAGTTTAAAAATCTGTTTCTACTAAAAACAAATGCTGCAGGTCATGCCGCTGATGGTGGTTTTATTTATAAAACAATTCTTTGAAAATGCCTGTGGCTAAATAGGATGCAAATATAGTCCATGAACTTCATATTTTTAATCTTTTCAGAGGTGCAGCTTTGTGTCTTACTCTATTATTGCCACAGCTCTTGAGAGGAGCCTGGACCACATCTAGCAGCCTACTCCCTACATTAGAAAGAGGATTTCCTGCATTTTTTTGTTTCCATCTTACAAAGTTCCATTTCTAGACAGTGATTCTCAAACACTGTGGTTAAAGACTAACTAGGAGTGGTGGGATTTAATTTCAATTCATTGCAGATCAATATTTTATAAAATATAATAAAATCACATTGCTAGAAAAGTGATCTTGTTCTTGGACTGTTGCAGCTATATCACATAGCTCTCAGTGTTTCTAAAAGAGTAATCCATCCCACCCCCCAACACCACTTATGAGAGACAGAGAGAGAGTAACAAGAGGAGGGAGATAGATATTTTGACAGGGTCTCATGTCACAATTCTCCTCCCTCAGCTTTCTAAAGAGCTAGGACCATGGGCACATGTACCCACATCTGTGTGTTCAGGAGGGCCCAGGAACCAAACCTGGGCCTCCCGTGTGGTTTACAATCTCCCAAGCACTGGTGCTACCTGTGTTCTACTGCATCCAGGCCCTAAAGGATTAATCTCTTATAGGAGGTGGAGCCACACTTGATTAACCCTACTCTAGAAAATGTTCTTAAAATTTAGAATTCCAGTCATGATGATAAATTTTGATCTTTAGGGTCTAGAAAGTCTAGAATGTTAATCATTTTTTTAATAATAATTACATGAGAGACCTTCCTACCCTGGCCACAAAATTTATGTCAATGTTATTGCCATTCTTTCCTATTGGAAAATAGAGTTGAAAAATCAATCCTTATAAAATGCTTGACAGGTAGTTTTATGTCTAAAAGTTCAATTTTTTTCCTGGAAATATTGTGTAGATTTGGTTATACCTAGAAAGGATATAAATGCTTCACCTACTTCAGCTGGAAAAGTAAATCTAATCCCTCTCGTTAAATATATATGAGTTGGATTTTTAGTTAGAATGTTTTATATATATATATATACACTACTCTCCAACCTCAATATTCTATATTATTCTTTCTTCATGTAAATTTAATCAGCTTTTATAGTTAAGGAAAATGTGTAAAGATGGTAAGAAAGGCATTCCTCTTATCTGGACACATTTCCTTTCTCACTTTTATAATATGTCTTAACCATCTGTCTTTCCCTGACATGCATCATTATTTCAAGATATCATTTACTCTATGTGATTTCAAGACCTTTAGATTTTTTTCATAGATCTGCCTCTGCATGTCCTACCTTAGTTTCATAGTTTAAATTTAGATATACCCATTTTTTCTGTCTCCAATAATAATAATACGTTACATTTGTATATCAATAACACTTCAAAAATCATACATGTCCTCCATTCATACTCAATGGAGTCCTTAAAATGATGTTTATGTGTTTAAATCCTATGTAACTAACATTTGCTAAAGGAGAACTTTATGTTTAAGGAACCCCACAGTACTTTTTTCTGTATAGCAAAAACAAAACATTTCTACACAGTAAATAAATCACTACCAAATTTAACAATATTTTTCATTCTTATTAAAGGTTTGCTTAACTGAGGCAGAGTGTTAAGATTTCTGATCTTTTTTCCCCCTTCATCTAGGTGTCCAAGTGTTTCAAAAATAAACTGTGAAAAGAAATCAGCAAAGGGAAAATTATCTAGAGGCAACCCAAAGTAAATATTATTATTATTTTACCTTGTGTAGCTTACAACTGCAGGCATGAGATTAAACTGTTACTCTTTCCACACTAGCAGGAATAATTCACCAAGAAGCTTAATGTGTTTCTTGGAAAGAATAAAAACAAAAAGAAAACCTCTCACTCTGGCAGATTTTTATGGTTCTCATCTTTAGGAACTAAAGTACACTATGACAATAACAGGGAAAACAAAACATCCCAAATTATACCTTTAATTGCCATTTCTAAGCACAATTTTAATATTTTTCCATTTCAATCAGGAATAATTTGAAATGTACATTCTGAATGAATGTATAATTCAGTCTGTTTTGTTTGAATGCCTATTTTCCACAAGTACTACCAGAACAATTTCATGGAGTCTCTCTACCCAGCCGACTACTCATAATGGGGGGAGGCAATTGGAGGGCCTTTTATTGTGTTCTGTAACATTTGCTCTATTAGTCAGAAATAAAGTATTTTCCTGAATACTATATTGAATTTGGGGCTCAAATAATTACTTACATAAGCACATAAATAAAAATAATTTTCCAGCAAAGTCTTTCTAAACAAGGATGAGAAAGAAAAGATAATGTTATTCTTGAACAGTAATGAATTTTGGAGACTTTTTCCCTAGAGTATCAAAGATAATGCAGAAGAGGGCAAAAAAAAAATGAGTAATGGGGCTAAATGATGTATATTCCATGATCAAAAAGAAAATTTTCTTTTGGCTGTTAACTGGAGTTATCTAGTCTGATTAAAAATGTGTCTAGGAAGTAATTTTTGATTTTTGGATTTTAGACTAACAGGAAAGATATAGGTTATATAGGAAGATCATGATTAAGCATGTACCAGATCATCCTGCAAAAAAAAAAAAAAAAAAAAAAAAAAAAGCAATATTAAGAAACAACTTGGAGCCATTAGGTGGTGTAGTGGTTAAGGTGCTGGACTCCCCCATAGCTGACTGCAGTTGGAGTCTCAGACTCGGTGCCTTGAAAAATCACACTGGGGGCATATATATGCATGCCCAAAATCTCAAGAGGAGAATGGAGGAGAAGCTATTGCAGTGAGGCCATCCTCCTGGAGGGTGATTTCTCACTTTCTGTCTCTCCAGCTAGTACACATACCCTATGGCAAAAACCTTTTTTAAAAAAAAAGGAAAAGAAAAGCAAGAAAAGAAAAGAAGGAAAGAAAGAAAAGGAAAGAAAATAAGGAAACCCAGGCCCAACTACAATGGGTACAGGTAGTAGGGGCACTACTGTGATGCTGGGGACTGTGGGGAAGGTCACAGATATGTGTCCCAGGTCTGTCTCAGGTCTATCTCAGCACACTAGGCATGTCCATGATCTTGGCTGGCTCTAGGGCTGTGGAGAGGATCATGACATGAAGACCCTCTTGAGGGCTTTCTCTCTCTCTCATACATGTTGCATAAAAGCTTTTTCATCAGATTCCCAAGGGCAACAAAGTTTAACATCTACCGTAAACTTTTACATGAAAATACCTTCAAAAAGTTTGTGAAACTGTGTATTATAAACAAAGTATACTTATATTTTTTGCACCAAAATAAACTTGTACCTTAATTCTATTGTTCTACAGACTTTTCAAAGTTCTCTTATATATTCATATCTATCTATATGTATATTTGCTATAGGGTACATGTGCTCACCAAAGACGCAGAAAGCAAGAAATCACACCTGCTCCGGGGCAGGGGGGATGGCCATGCCACAATCCCTTCTCCTCCATTCTCCCCTTAGGATCTTATGCACACAAGCACAGAAGCCTAGCATGAGTTTTAAGAGAGTCCAGTGACATAACCATTATGCCGTGCTGGTCCCTATAATGGCCTTTTTTAATGATCCAACTTTGGTGATCTAACAGGTAGTCAAGGCAGCAGAAGCAATGCTGGAAACAAGGTTCAGAGGCATTATCAATGTGAAGCAAGTATATGTGGAGCAAGTTTTCGAGATAGAAAGGTCATCGAGAAGCCAGTACTGAAGTTAGGATTAACTGAGAACATTAGTTTATGGCGATAGTACAGTCATCAAGAAATGAGCAGTCAAGCTTGCATTAATCTCTGAAGACAGCCTAGTTAGCTCTGTTAGGAAAGCTGGCAGAGTTCCTGGTCAGCTGCATTTATACAGACCGTTCCTACCACTTCTTCTGCAGGGTCTCCTTGAGCTGTCAGGTAGGTCACCCTAAACTGCTGCACATTGCTGTCAGAAATGTCCCATGTTACCCGCAGACTAGAGGTAGTTTCATCATCTACAACCAGGTTTCTGATTCCTGTCTGGAAAACTGGAACAAACACAACCAAGGATTAAAGAACTTTTAGCTCATCATATTCCAAAATGAGCCACAAAGACACAGAAATGGGTTATTGCTTGTTGATGATAACATGTATAGTATTCACAATTGGACTGGTCTGAGAAGTATTTCATGTTGGGTAAATTCTCTTTACAAACTAAATGATATATAGTGCTTGAATGTTTAAAAATAATGAGAATAAATAATAATCATCCTCATCATCTGAAAAAAAGGTGAAAAGCTATTTGATGATGATGATATGGATAGTAATGTCTTGGTCTTGACTGATACGCATGGTAATTGTGCTGGAAAAAGAAATGTAATACACTGTAAAGGTATATGTGATTGAATATAATATAAAAATCTTAAAAAGGAACCACAAAGACTACTTGTGGAGTGGCAAAAAGCATCATTTAATGTATCTCTATAATTTAGACTCACGTGAAGCAAGAACTGCTCAGCTTTAATAGACAATGGGGAGTCATGATAGCAAACAAAGACAGGTTTAAGCGATGCTTATAAGATGAGACTATGAACCTTTCAAAACTATCAGCCCTGTGTGGACACTCGGAAGGAGAACTAGGGAGAAGCCCTGGGACTAAGGAAAGCAGTCTATGAGTCCAAAATGGGTCATGGTCATGAGACTCTCATGCTAATGCTCTGTTGGGGAAATGGACAAGGTGGGCCAGTCCTGTCAGTCTTCACGTGCAATCCAGCATCCAAAACACATTCCATCCACCTTCGCATTCGTGTTTTAACACTTGTCATTCAAAGCACAAATCTCACCCAGGCTGCCTTTATTCATTCATCCAACAGAGACATTCTATTTTTTTGATAGGCATCCAAATTCCTTGACTCATGTTCTCTAGCACATTCATTCTCATCTCTCAGGGTGCCTGATCCTTCATTTGCTCCATTTTTCTTTCTGCCTTCTGCCCTGACTCCCTTTCATTCTGCTCATCTCCGCTGATGGTACTCTCTCATCATTCATGTATTTATTTATTCAGAAAACATGCATTGAACCCTCCTCATTATGTCAGACTGTGTTAGGCCTTTGAGATAGATCATGATCAACTCTTGACAAAAATAATATGAGTGTCACCTAGGAGGAAGGAGCTTGACACATTCATGTAGGAAAATTGGACGAGACTGCTAAACAGTGTGGAAGGGAGGGGGAACTTCTCACATTCAGAGCAAAGAATTCTGGGTGTCAGCTAGGAACTATAGTTGAGGCTAGGAAGGGAAGCAGAACCCAATCAAAAAGGATTTTAGATGTTATGATAAAGAGAATTTACATAAAAAAGTGACTCAATAAAGATTAACTGAAGAATGAATGAATACATGAATGGATAATGAAGAGCCACTGGAGTGTTTTAGATGAGAAAATAACTGATATTATCAAACTAGGTTTTATCTAGTGACTAGGGTTGGAGGTATATTATAGTGAAGAGAAAAGCTAAACTGAAAGAGGAAATAACTGATGTAGAAAGAAAAATAGACCAACTAAGACTCAGTTACACATCAGAAAGTAGGGAAGCCATGTGAAGAATGATTCCCAACAGAAAGCAATAGAAGTTGTTGAAACAAAGAGTGCGAAAACCCTACTTGAGTTTACTATGTTAACATCCTTGGAAAGGTGGATGATAATCCAGGGCAAAGATGGGAAAGAGAGAGAGCTGTACTAGTGAGACTAATGGACTAGAACACCCAGCTGGCATTTACTGGCAAAGGTGATGAAAGGTTCTAAGAGAATGAAATCTAAACTGGTTTGCCAGAGAAGAAAGGGAAGGGCATTTCTTTTCCTAATTAACAATACAAAATAAATAAAACTGGGATAACATAACTTCTGTATAAATCGAACTTGTCAAAAATAAATAAATAAATAAAACTTGTCTTATGGATTTACAGGCTCCTGTTTGTCCTTACCTGAAGTCACAGGTCTTGTAGGTACTATGGTCGTGGCTGGTTCTGTCCAAATACTGTCAACTAAAAAAAAATTAATTACTTTCAAGTTCTGTACATATAACTCTATTTATTTTCATATAGCATTTTACAGTCTTCAAAGAAAATTTCACTTAGATTATCTCACTTTCTTCCTACAACAAACTTGACTGTGTTTGGAAGCCCAGACAAATGAGTTCTAAGGAAGGCAGACATATCGGTTCCATGGATAAGTAAACTGAAATCCAAAGAAGTTAAAGTTTCTCATCACAGATACAAGACTTCATATACACATATACAAAATTGTGAAACCTCCCACCTACTTTGAAATAGGAGTATAATCATGATAATTAAAGGAAATTAAACAGTGCAGTAGACAAAGTGGTGAAAGAACTGCCAAACAAGACCACCAAGGAGTGCATTGTGCTTGAGAAAGAAGTGTGTCTGTGTTTCTTGTATCCATACTTAGATGGAGCAGGTATATGGTGCTTTGCTCAGATCCCCTTTTTTAGAGTCAACATACTGATCCCCCAAGTACTAGAATACTAACTAACAATGGCTCACAGCTCTGGAAACTGCCTCACCCAAGGATACAGTGGCTCTTGGAGGATGGCTATCCTTGAGCAATGGGGCATGCAGGGTCACCAAGACCCAGCCCCTTTGCTTCAATGTGGAACAACTCAGAAGGGTCAGCCTAGCCCTACAAGTCTTGATAGAATTAGCTGAGGGCTCAATTCCAGCTTCTTCCTTTGCTCCATCCTGCTGTCCTCAATTTCTTACATCAGTATCTCCCAAATGCACTTTTAAATAAGCCCTCTGGATGCAATTTTCTGTCTCAGAATCTGATTCTAGGGAAATGAATCTAAGGCAATCTAATATGTGGTTAATACCTCATATTTTAAAAATGAAGGGATGAATGAATCAGCAAGTGCATTTTGTACATAATTCTTGGAACCAAGGTCCAGTTGGACCAGATGCTCTTGGACCTGTTAGCCCTAGGTTTATCTGATTGCCAATTTATTCATTTATAAATGATTCCATCTATCCATGCATCTATTCGTTCATCTATTGAGTATTTGTTGTATAGTTAAAATGTGCCAAGTACTGTACTAAGTGATGGGGGATATAATAGTGAATGAGACATAGGTTCCTGCCTTCATGGTGGTCATAGTTGAATATGCTATGAGGCTTCATACGTTGGTTTCACTGAAAGTGAAATGTATGAAGAAAAAGGGAAGAAAAAGAAACTGAAGCCTCCATGTCTGGGGATAAGGCTGATGGAGTGGAAAACTGATGGTGTACAGGGGATGCCAGAAGGAACAGTGGGAGCTGCTCAAGTCCAGCTTGGCCAGATTGAGACTTACGTGTGGTCCCAACAGCAGTCACCACCTCACTCTCACTGCCATCATCAAGGACAGCCAACAGTGAAACTTCATACTCAGTGCCAGGCTCCAGGCCTTCAATAACATATGCGTCCTGTTCTTCTTTCAGGATAACCTGAAAAATATTTGTTGCTTAGTTATTAGGTCTACTTGAATAAAGGGGGTTGGGGAGAAAGTTTAAAAAATAAGTAAAAAGGAAACTTGTTATTGTGAATATAAGCAGGAAATAACCAAGCTTAAAGAATGCCAAGGCCACTAAAGTCAACTCTAAAACTAGAAACGACAGACTAAAATTGGAAAACTAAAACTAGAAAACTAGAGACTTTTTCAATTCTCTCAACAAAATAAATTATTAATATTGCAACAGCGGCATTTTGAAGTGTTATTAAATATTATTTATTAAAGTAAAAGAATCTAAAAGTATTTATGACATATATCTAAATATCAATTACTTCTGGGATGCACAGTCTATTTTAAAGTGAAGAACAACTCAAATGCAGTAGTTGGCATGCCCTTCCAGATAAAATGCTCTGTATTAACTTTCAGTCTACTTCAGACCACTCACCTCTTCAGTCTTCCCACCATAGACTGGAATCCACATCAACTTGTGCTGCCCTTCATCTGCCGAGAGGGGATGCCAGGTCACTCGAAAGCTGTCTGTCGTCACTTCATCAATTTCCAAGTATTGCTGGGCTGGAACTTCCTCTGTAAGCCAAAGAAACAAGTTTTGTTAGGGAAATGAGAAGGCCAGGAAGCCAAACCTCAAGTTGCTCAGGGGCCATAGAAAGAGAAGACAGGACTCTTCAGCTTTCGGGAAGCACATGGAAGAAGGGAAGGCAGCGTCGGTTGGCTCAGGATGGTCTTACATTTCTGTTTCCAGCATTTATCAGTAGCATAAATTAGGAAAATAGCAGGTTTTGAAAGTTTTCCAGTAATTTCCAGAACTCCACATTTTCTATTTGGCTCTTTTCATAACTAAAAATAGTAAGAGTTTCATATTCATTATTTTAAAAAGTTATTTTCCAAGTTAACAAAATGGTGCCCAAGAGGCTAGACAAACATTCTCTTTTAGGTCAGTTTGCTTTAGTGGCTAAATCATTGTGTGGTAGTAAGTTCTGTGTCCTGGAGAAGAAGCTTTATCCTTTTCACGTGGACACATGGATGTCATCAGAAGTGAAATATAGTTGATCAAATCTCCCATTATTTCACAGCTTACAGACTCCTGGGAAGTACAATGGAAAACATAATGTCCAACTGTCAGGACACCATGAGAATGCCAACTTCAGTTAGGCCTCAGAAAATTTTGTGAAATCAATGCAATTTTTCGGTGAACATTATTTTTTATTTCACCTTCTTTCTCCTTTCTCTCCAAATTGCTTTCTTATCTAAGTATAGGACAAAGTTTCTAATCACAGTGATTACAAAAATAAACAATAGAATCATTGCCACCAAGAAACAAACAAAAAAAAGTTTCATATTTATTAGGCAATGATGGGGTACATGTAGAAAAGAAAAAAATGTATTTGTGCCTTATAATTAATTTCAGTATTTGAAAAATTAATTTCATTATATTAAGATTTCAGGCAATACTCAGCAGTAAATCTTCCATATTTTTCCACTTTCTGTCAAAAGCCAGAGTTTTGTTGTTTTTTATGGCTGAATAGTATTCCATAGAGTATATGTGTCACAGTTTTTCAATCCATTCATCCATACGGGAGCATTTGGGTTGGTTCCATGTCTTAGCAATTGTGAAAAGTGCCGCAATAAACATTGATGTGCAAGCACTTTTCCAATGAAGAACTCTTCTGTCCTTTGAGTAGGTGCCAAGGAGTGGGATTGCTGGATTATATGGCAGTTCTATTTGTAGACTTTTGAGGAATCTCCAAATTGTTCTTCACAGTGGTTGGACTAATTTACATTCCCACCAGTACTGTAAGAGAGTTCCCCTTTCACCACACACCCGCCAACACGTAGAAAAAAAAAGTAAATAAATTAATTAATTAAATTAAAAGAAAAGATTTCAGACTCTATAAAAATACATTATTACCTGAAGGCTATTGCATGAGGTTTACTAATATGAAACTGTCATTTTTGAAAGCCAGAAATCATTGAATAACAGCAATTTGGGAAGACCAATGTAATATACACTCATCTAAGTGGAAGAAGGATATAAATCAAAAAAATAAAAGAAAAAGGTGGGAGGTAAGGGAGAGAAAAAATGTATACTTTTTAAAAAAACAGACCTTTTGAACTTTAATGTTCTTTTCTTTCTTTTCTTGCTTGGATAGAAAATAATTTGTCAGCACACACCCTAGTCACCTCCAGTGACACCATGATAACACAATGTTCCGTGATATTGAACCTATCGCAGAGGAAAGATCCCGGGTTCCCAGCCCATGGTTTCCCAGGCACACCGGCTATGGGCACATGCACTTGTGACCAGCCTAGCTAAGGTCGGGGTGGATCACGGCATGAACATCTGGCAAAGTGCCTCCCTCATTCTGTCTCTCTTTCATGTAAGAAACAAACTTTCAAAAGATAAAAAGATGTAGTCTAATTATTTAGGGAGCTGGATCCCACTTGACCAACTGTTGTTCACATCTTGGCCTGAAAGGCTTGTAAAACACACTTGGCATGTGTGTGTACATGCTCCAAATTCTATTGGGATGGAGAAACAGAGGAAAAGGGATTGTGGCATGACCACACCCAATTGTGGGTGCTTTCTCCTTCTCCCTCTTCCTCTCTCCCTCTGTCTCTCTGTCCCTCTGTCTCCCTCTGAAGAGTGTATGTATACTCTGAGAATTAAAACATAATAAAAAGAAAAGAAAAGAAAACTTAAAATGAATCTCTGAAAAATCACAGTTGAAGCTGCTCTAGGTTTGGTTTCTCTACAGTCACTCTTGAAACCCTTTCAAACCATAGTAAGACTTACCTGTGGTGAACATTCCAGTCAGGGGCTCTGACTGCCCCTCATCATAGATGGAGAAAATCGCAATGGTGTAATCCGTGAGGGGCGTCAAGCCTTTCAGAGGAAATGTTGTAATAGGATCAACCTCAACCTACAACAGAGAGAAGTCATATAGCTGTATCGGATACTCTCAAAATATATGAAACACTTTCTTACTGTCTATAGTTTGCTTGGCTGGAAGCAGATCTGTAAAAAAAAGTTACTGAATTATAAAACTGGTTAGTTTATATATACATATTTCCCATTGTACACCCTTAAATACAGAGTACATATCTGTTAATTCTTTGGACAACTTTGTAGCTAATACTATTTCTATTCATTAAAGATACAAAGTATAGTACTAGCTCCACAGTTTAGTGATTAAGGGAGTTGTATCCCACATGGCTGATTGTAGGTTGTATCCCAGTTCCAGAGGCTTGAAAAACATGCCAGGCATTGTGCATGCATGCACCAAATCTCAACAGGATGGAAAAAGAAAAGAAGGGATTGCAGCATGATCACACTCTATTGGGTGATATCTTTCTCTATCTCTCCATCTCTCTATGTCTCTCTGATGAGTACAAACACCCTCTGATGGCTAAAAAAAAAAAAAAAGAAATAGGGGCTTTCAGGTGATGTGGTGGTTAAGGTGCTGGATTCTCGCATAGCCAACTGTGGTTCAAGCCCCAGACCTGGGGGCTTGCTTCCTCATTTTCTCTCTCTTTTTCTATCTCTGACTATCTCTGGTGGAATTAAAGAAAAAATAATAATAAATAAAATTACATTAAAAATCCTTTAAAAAGTATTTGAAAAAAGATATAAAGTGCAGACAACTTAAGAGGCTTATTTAAGCATTTATAATGTTTTCAGTCAGATCCATTAGAAGCAGTCAGTTTTGGGCTTCCTTGCCAGGGCTCAGCTGGCTCTCCAGTTAAGTAACATACAATAATTCCTGTGAGAGTTGCATAGGTGAAGAATCAGGAGCTACTACTACTAAGGAATATAGTAAATGTGTGAAATATTCTTTTTCCTTCCACAGAAAAACATATTTGGGAAAAATATTCACTAACATCTTTAGAACACATAAGGGATAAATTCTTGAGACTAAGGACCAAGAGAGTAAGAAAAAGGAAAGATTAGAAGAGAGAAATCGGCAGCAAAGAACAGAGCTTGAAGAAAGAAACCATAACATAAGAGGAGACAGGGGCAGAATCAAGAAGACAGAGAGAGCGCTGACCAAAGTCACCCTCAAAGCAAAGGAAAGAACAGATGCCGAACTGTCTTTGGGAGGCTAGGCACTGGGCAACTGAGCTGCGTGGTGCAGGGAGCACATGAAACACCATGTAGACGGGGCCCACAGCTTAGGGTTTTATCGACATCCTCTATTATTTCCACAAAACATTTAATAATTTATAATAAGACATTATAGCTTATTAATCACCAGACTTAGCTCTGGTGATTCCTGGGGAATTGAAGCAATATCCAAGTTTATCTGAGAGCAGAGTCTACCCAAAGAGGTCTTGCTTATTATGTTTTCAAGAGACATTTTGAAGTTTAGTATGGAAGGGATGGAGGGGAAAAGGGAAGGAAAAAAATGGGTTAAAGTATGCTTAATTGACAAAAGATGAGAAGCTATTTGCTGATGATAATTTATATAGTAATATCCTTGTCTTGACTAACATCCATGGGTTTTTGTTGGAAAAAGAAATGTATACTGTAAAGACATGCCATAAAATCTGAATGTAAATAAATAAATAAATAAAGTAAATTTTTAAAAGACAAAAAAAAAAAAAAAACCAGGAGAGAAAGAGACATTTTGGAGCTCATCTAAATTAAAGGCCAGTTCAGAAGCCAGATACATCCCTACGGAGCCAACCATAGGTAGCAACTATTCAGAATGAGCAAGTCAAAAAATTGGAATCTAAATACAACATAAGGATTACACACAGTAACAGTGTATTTGAGATTCTTGTTAAGCAAGCAGACTACAGATGCTCCCGTCACAGAAAGAATAATGGACAACTCTGTGAGATGATGGGTATGTTAATGTGTTCCAGTCTAATAACCATTTTACAAATATATACATACATGTGTGTGTATATGTATCTCATAGTATGTTGGAGATCATAAAGATACACAATCAATTTTTTTTTTTTTTAAAGCACCAATCCTGGGGAATGGAGCTTCTATTTTACCCTATTGGCCTTCTAGAACCAGCCAACTCTGACCTTTTCAGATACCGCAGCTGAGATGCCAGACATGGGGGTGAAGTCATATTGGAAGTTCTAGCCCAGATTCCCAGATGGATGGAAGAATCACCCCAGCTGACACCACACAGCAGACAGCAGTCCCTGCTTTGTTCTGCCCATTGTTGCATAATCGTGGGCTCGTACTTTAACCTGGAGTGTTGGTTACACAACAGTAGTTCACTAACAGAGCTATCATCTTCTTCTGAATTAGGATTGGTAACACCATAGGTCATTTTTAGCCTTTGGGGTTTACTCCAGTCTGGGTACTATCTGCATGCGTTATATACATTAACTCACTTAATCCTTACCACATCCCCATAGGGTAGCTAGTTATTATATTAACCCTAATCTGAAAATGGGAAAAACGAGATTCCAAAAAGTTAATGAACTTGCCCAAGGGGAAACCAGTTAGTGTCTTGGACTTAAATACAAGTATTTCAGATTCTAAATCTATGCTCTTAGACTCTATGGTATGACTTCATTATTTAAGCTCATAGAAAATACAAATCCATATTTAAAATGTGAGTTCAAGATGTATGTTCCTACCCTATATTTACACATTGCTTTCTGTTGTTGCAGATTGTCATAGCTAAGATTCACTGGGCACTTACAAAGTGTCAGGGACTTTACACACATTGTCTCATTTAGAGATCCTCCCCACCTCCACTTTCCTCCACCAAATCCTAGTACTTATAATAACTATAGTAATTTCCAAAGAAGAGGCCCAAACAGCTAATTTGCTCTGACCCATAAAACTACTAACTGGAGTACATAGTTAAGGCTCAACTTATTTCTAAGTTTCAAATCTGTGACAAACAGGAATTTTTCACAAATATCAAATGTGTACAAAAATAGTCAAAATTAAATTCTCTTAAGTACATCAAGAGACTGAGATAAAAATTTATCTGTGTATATACACTTATATGTGTGTATGTGTTTGTGTGTATATATATATTGGGTCATTGGAAAAGTCATGACACATTTTCACATAGAAAATGTATTCTTGGGAGTATTTCTTTATCTCTCCTTCAATAAACTCCCTGCTTTGCTATACCAAAAAAATAAAAGAAAACGTATGTATACATACATATGGAGTCTTCAGAAACTTCATGAAAAGTGCATATTATGAAAAAAATACACATAATTTCAAAACTTTTTTTGCACCAAATAAATATGTATCTTTATTCCATCACTCCACAAACTATTTGAAGTACTCTCATATATATCTGTTTAAAAGAATTATTAAAATATTTTATCTGATAATGAAAAGAATATATTTTAAATCATTTTACATTGATAATTTGATTTCATCAAGGAAGACCCTTAGGCATCATTTTCTTTTATTAATTATATCATATTATAAACTATAAGCTCTGGAACTGATTTTGTTTGTAGTATTTTTAAGAAAAGTAATTTGACAATTTAATAACAAATAACCATGATCTCATTGTTATGCAACTACTTTTGAAACTAATTTTTCATACAGTCTAGCTAAAAATTCAACTTCAGCCTAATTTTGGGAAGGCTGAAGAGAGTTCTTGATGAGGGACGAGGGACTTGAGCTCTGCTCTTGACTGAGCTGAGTCATCACTGGTGGGAACTCGCCTCTCTGACCCTAAAAACTAGGGCCATTACATTAATAAAATTCAAACCGTGGCACTTAATTCTTCATGTTTGTGAAGTTCTCAAATTCTTCCCCATTAAATGTTTCCTGAGAGGTTTCTGTCCTTAGTTTGATGAGTCAGTTACTGCTGAGTGAAGCAAGCCATGCTATGAAGGAGAGGCATTGTATGTCCCCACTTAATATATACCGAGTGTCTGCACTCTATGACTGAAACTAATTGTCTAAAGAATATAGAAACACAGTATATAGATGTAAATACCAGATATAGTGTGTGTGAAAGAGGAGGGTCTGAGGAAGGACATTTGGGGGAGGGATAGGGAGGAAAAGCATTAATGGCACAAAAAGGTGTGGTATTATCTGTTGAAGATATTTCATAGTTTTATCAACAGTACTAGGGAGAAATGTTCACCAGTTGAAATATCCATTTTGTAAGACAAATAATAATGTGATTGAATGTATGGAAGAAAATGAAATGAAAAAAATTTTTTAAAAAATTACTGAAAGAATTTATACAACAAAAGAAAAAAACGGTTAAATGAGGTACTGTCTGGGGAGCCCTCTGCACAGGGCCTGGCTCATGGCAAGTACTCAACAGCATTGGCTGCCATGATCATCATAGCGCCAACACTGCCATCAGCACCACCACCAGCACGACCATTGACATTTGTCTAGGTATCCTGTTTTATGTGTTGTTCCTTGGTCTCCAAAAAGTTGTGGAGAGGGATAATGCAGAAATGATACAGAAAGAAGAAGTGAGGGAGAAAAGGTTAAAGGAAAAAGTGAATCAGAGGAGTATTGAGTACAAAGAAAAACTTTTACAGTCAATTACACGTTACACGCTAACTCTTGGTAGGTTTTAGTTGGGACACTTTAGAGTTCATTTCAGAATGTTTTGAGGGATTTCCTAGAAACTCAGGAAACTTTGTTGCATTACCTACAAATAAAGGCTTAGATTCATAGAAGTTAAAGCAAGATCTGGTCGGTATATTCACTCATAAAATGACATATTCCAGGCCAACTGGTGGCACGGTCGTTAAGGTGGTTGGATCCCTCATAATTGACCAGAGTTCAAGTCTTGGACCCAGCAACTTGAAAAACACACTGGGTGCATGTACATGTGTGCCCAACATCTCAAAAGGCAGGAAGGATGGAAGAGAAGGGATTGGGGCTTGACCATGTTTTGTGGGGATTCCTTTCTCACTTTCCCTCCTCTTCTGTCTTTGTCTCTCACATGCCTTTTGACAAGAAAAAAATTTTTTAAATAAAAAATAGTATATTTCAAAATTAAGTAAAGTATTACTTCACTTAAAGAAAATACACTTATCCAGCAACATTAAGTCTCAACTGCATGGCTAAAAATTAAGAAATAAGAAACACCCATACACACACATTAAAAAAAAAATTACACGTAACAAACACATACACCCCATTCAAAATGGGAATTACAAAATTCATACATGGCTGATGATTTTCACTCAAATAAAATGTTCTCAAATCTTCCTTCATAGATCATTTATTGATATTTTAAATTCAGTTTTGCCATACATAGTTTTTTAAATTTTTTTACAGCAATGCAATTAGAAATAGTGATTTCTAAAGGCATTCCCAGGATTAAAAAGACACGCAGATAATATTCTCAACACATATGTTAGTCTGGGGCCAATCCTGAGAAAGTAAAGAGCAGAAAATATTAGCTCATTGGGAACGTCATGACATATTTTTCCATGCTTTTCTATGCAAAAATGCATCACGACTTTCCAACAACCCAAATTAGAGAGGACACGACAGCTGCTGTAATCTGAATGCACACATCCTCCCAAAACTCTTATGTTGATACGCAAGCTCCAATGCAACAGTATTTAGAGGTGAGGTATTTAGGAGCTGATGTGATCATAAGGGATTACTGCTTTTAAGGCTCATGTGCTTACTGGAGAAAGAGAGACAGAGACAGAAAGTGAGAAATCACCCCACACATACGAGGAATGGACATGCTGCAATCCCTTCTCCTCCAGTCTCCTCTCAGGATTTTGGGCATGCATGCACACATGCCCAGTGTGAGTTTCAAGCCTCTAGGTCCAGGACTTGAAACATGACCAACCACATGGGAGTGCGGTGCCTTCATCACTAGGCTGCCTGCTGGTTCTGATTACTGCTTTTGTAAGAGAGGCTATGGGAACTTGTCTGTGCCTGCTATGTGAGGACACAGCTAGAAGGTGCCAACTATGAGGAGTGGGCTGAACCAGACACTGAATCTGCTGGTCCTTGATCTTGGACTTTCTAGCTTCCAGAATTGTGAATGTTAAATTTCCATTATTTATAAATATCTCAGTCTAAATATCTCTGCTCTGGGCTCCTATCTTCAAAAACAAAGTAATTAGTCTAAATGTCCCCAGATGAATCAGAATTATGTACTCCCCGGATTTATAAACATTTCATGAAAGAAGTTGAACAATATACTTTGTATGTTAGCAAATGCGCACTTATTGAGCAGTCCCAATAGCACAGCAGTTAAATGCTGAGCAGAAGTCACATCCCTCATGAATGACTAGGGTTCAAGTTTTGGTTCAGTGGCTTGAGAAACATGTCAGGCACACATACGTGTGCCCAGGATCCTGACAAGATGAAAACTTGGAAGAACAAGGATTGTGGACCTGCTATGCGCTGCTTTCTCTCTCACCCTCCTTCTTGTGCATGTGCACACACCCTCTGGATTAAAAAATATAATAATGTGCCATTGTCATTCCATTACACAATGTCCCTTATGAGAGTACACGCTTTTAAAAAAATCACTTGATTTTAATTGTGGAAGAAAGTTTGTCTCTGCATATGAAAATACTTGCTTTATTTGGTCAGAAAATAGAAATTATGTAATCCAACATATTTCCCTCTTTGTCTTAACTTCCTGGACCAAGATAAGAAAAAATAAAATAAAAATAACCTTGCTATCTTACTAAAACATATTTCCAAGGAAAGAATTTCCAAAAATATTAGTCACTGCATGCAAGATAATATATTTTCATGGGTTTTATATGTTCCATTATTTGGAATCATCTTCTTACACAAAACTTGAAACACTTATTTTTTTACTAGGGTCTTTCAGATGCCAGTGTATTAAAAAGCAGAGGAATACACTGGATAACACTGACATTATTTCTAGTTTCATATTTCTGTGAAGATACATACTTCCCCACCCCATTCAGTGTGGCAGATTTTATTTTCCAAAGCAACCATATGGATGTACATCTGCTACCCTGTGTATTCCTCTTATCATGTGACCAACATGCATTCCACCATAGATGGACTCTGTTTCTTCCCACCTTGAATCCAGGCAGGGCTACCATGTTTTCTGTCAATGGAATATGATGGAGGTGATACGAAATGACCACTGAGTCTAGGTCATTAAATGTGATACAGCTTCTACTCAGCTCTGTCTCTCTTTGGACATGTGTCATGGAACGCCCAAGTCATTTCCCTTGAAGAATGCTTAAGGCATCATATGAAAAGTTAACTTAGGATATAGAGAGCTGCTCTGGCTCCAAGTTGCTCAAATCTTCCCAGACATATGAGTAAAGAAACCATTGAGATGACACCACCTCCGTTACTATCTGGCTATACCCTCATTACCTATAGCCTGTAACTATAACACACACACCCACCCATCCCAGCCACAATTGCATATCCAAGTCCCAGTTGCTGACCTACAGAAATGATGAGGGAAAAGTAATCATTGGAATTGTTTTAAGCCAGTAGAGGTTGGGATGTTGGGTTATGCAACAACAAGTAACTAACACACAATCATTTGAAAAATAAACATATTCCACAACTTACCTCATTGATTTCAGTCCCATCTGCATTATTATATACAATTCGGTAACCACTGATCTTTCTTGAAGTTGGCTCCCAAGTTAATCGAGCACTGTTAGAACCAACATTGGAGATTCTCAAGTTTCTTGGTGGACTTAAAGGCACTTTGCAGTAAATAAAATAGAAAATAATTAAAATTTTTAAAATATACATGGAAAAAGACAATAGACAGCACCTTTGACTTCTGAATTATTTACACATCAAAAATGTTGCCCAAATAATAATGCATTACCCTGAAATAACCAGTGACTTGTCTCATTAAAAATCAATAATGTCCTCTAATTAACAAAGAAAAATATTCTGCTTAAATTACTACTATTTATTCTCTTTAGAGAGTAACAAGTTCCATGTACTTAGAAATGAATACTATTTGGGTAAATTTTCTGTCTTTTTTCCCTGGTTAGTGCTGTTATTATTGACTGATGCAAATAGGAAATGTAATGGATCAAAACCAAGGACACCTGAGATTGCATCTGAGCTATTCCAGTCAAATCTTAGCTATTCCACTCAGGTATCAGATGACTCTGGGAAAGCCCCTCTATTTCTCAGTTCTATGACTTTCCACATGTACAATGAGGGAGCTTCCTGTGTGCCATCTCTACATGGGTATCTGTTAGCTACCTCCAACGTAACCTGTCCAAGAAGGAACTGCTGCATCCTGCTGCCTCTCCCAACTTTCTCTCTCGGTCTTTCCCTCTGAGCAAATGGAAACCTTATGCTTCCTGTCACTCAAGCCAAAAACCTTGGAGTCATACTGAATTCCTCTTTTTCTCACAACTCATTTCCAATCTATCATCAGATCCTTCAGTAAACATCCAGACTATGAGCACTTGTTTTCACCCCTACTGCTACCATCTTGGTGAAAGCTGCTATCCTTTACTGGCTTGGATTTTATGAAGGACCTCCCAGACAATCTCCCCACTTTTATCTTCTACTCCTGGTATTCTAAGTGTGCAACCAGAGTGCTCCTTTGAAAATGTGAGTCTGATTATTTCACTCCTATGGAAAATGTTTACAAATGGCTCTCAACAGAATAAAGCCGTGGTTCTTACGAAGGTGCTTGTTGTCCTCTGTAACTGGCCCTCTGCCATCTGGTGACCCTTTCTTCTACTAGTCTGTCCCTTTCTCATGCCACCTGCCATCATTCTGGTTCTGAAGCCTGCCACACTTGCTCATGCATGGGCCCTGCAATTGCTATCTCCTTTGCCACAAAGCTCTTCACCCATAGCTGGTTTCCTTGCCTCTTTCAGATTTCTGAACATGCCACCTTCCAGGTGAGGCTTTTCATGACTCTCTTATATATATATAGTGTAATTTTTCCACCCAACACTATCTAGTTCCCTTTCCTGTTTTACTCTTCTCACTGCACATCTTTGGATCACTGTCTCTCACCCACAATATACTGTGAACTCGGGGAATTAGGGAATTTGGTTTAATTGTGTCCCAAGCTCTGTCTTCAATATACTAATTAGTCAATAAATATTTATTGAATCAATAAATAATTATCTGCCTTGGGTAAATCACAGTGGCTTTGTAAAATTCAATAAAAATAAACATTTTGCTGTTGCTCAAAATTATTTAAAGAGATATTGGTATTTATTGTTATAATCAAAATAATCTTTCTCTACAAAGCAAAGACTATATAATCATGTTTTTTTTTTTTTTTTTGGAGAGGTTTTTACTATAGGGCGCGTGCGCTCGCCAGACAGGCAGAGAGAGACATAGAGACAGAAAGGGAGAAATCACCACCCAGGGGGGGATGATCGCCACAATCCCTTCTCCTCCATTCTCCTCTCGGGATCTTGGGCATGCACGCACACACACCCGGCGTGAGTTTTAAGCCACCGGGTCCGGGACGCGAATCGCGGTCGACTACGTGGGAGTCCAGCGACATAGCCATTACGCTAACTGCTGGTTCCCAAGACTATATAACCTTGATTAACAAAGAATGGTTGTGGGAAAACTTCTTTCCGTACCATCAAACTTCTCTAGTGTTTTCCTAAGTAGAATATTAAAGATAAAGGCATCATTGGAGCTATTCACCTCCTCCTCAGGTTGAGCGTGGTGGGCTAGACCCCAAGTCTGCCCAAAATTGCTTATGTTTCAAAAGATCATGAGGAGAGTCATATTTTTATGTTATATGGTATTATTTGTGTGCCATAGGAGTATTTTGTCTATATCTTATTTCTTTTATTTTGTTTTAGTTTTTTGCTATAGGGCATGTGCACTTGACAGATAAAGAAAGACAGAGAGAGAGAGAAAGTGAGAAATCACCCCACAAGGGTGATGGTCTCACAGGAATCCCTTCCCTGTTCTCCTTCTGGGATTTTTGGGCAAGCATGAACACACACCTGGTATGTTTTTCAAACTGCCAGGTCTGGGACTTGAACCATGGAGGTAGCTATGTGGGACCCAGCACCTTAACCTCTATGCCACCTGTTGGCCCTTTCTATATCATATAAACATACACATTTCCAGAAAATATTATGAGTGCCTTACATTCAGCCCAAATAGCTTTTGCTGGTAGGATTTTCAGTTAATTAAAAAGCTAATTATGTCAATCGGGACCAGCAGTTGGCATAATGGCTGTGTCACTGGACCCCCACGTAGTAGATCACAGTTCAAGTCCTGGACCTGGTGGCTTAAACTCACACTGGGCATGTGTGCATACGTGCCCAATATCCTTAGAGGAAAATGGAGGAGAAGGGATTGCAGTGTATCCATCCTCCCTGGAGGATGATTTCTCACTTTCTGTCTCTCTGTCTCTCTCTGTCTTTCTGGTGAGTGCATGCTCCCTATAGCAAAACTCAAAAAAAAAAAAAAAAAAAAAGGCTAATTACATCAATAATAGACTCACATAAGGACAGCTAAGTGAAATGAAAAACAAACAGACGTTGAATAACTATGTACTAACTGCTTTCACCTGTACTACTTTTTTTTTTTTTTGAGAGACTTTTGCTATAGGGCATGTGTGCTCACCAGAAAGACAGAGAGAGAAAGAGAGATAGAAAGCGAGAAATCACCCCATGTGTGATGGTCACACCGCAATCCCTTCTCCATTCTCCTCTCAGGATCTTGGGGCCGCACACACACGTGCCCGGCATGAGTTTAAGCCACCATGTCCAGGATGCAAACCGCGGTCGACTACTTGGGAGTCCAGCAGCATAGCCATTACACTAACTGCTGGTCCCACCTGTAATACTATATTTAATCATCAGTTAACCACAGGCTGTATAATTAATGTTTCTCCTTTTATAGACCCCAAAAAGTTACATCACTTGCCCATTGCTATCCAGGTAAAATGTGATTTGGGGATTCCCATTTCAGTTGCTATGATTCCAAAGCCTATGTTCATCCCTCTGTATTCTGATTTAACATTTGTGTTTAGACAATGCTAAGATAGAATAAATGCAAGATAGAATAAATATATTTTCTTCCCCTAAATAAAATGCGTGTTAAGTTATAATTAGCACTTAGGAGGTTTTGACATAAACTAATACTGCCAGTTCTGAATCACAACATGTATTTGGGCTTTCATGACAGCTTTTCATCTGAACGACTGTGCTACTCACGGGTTGTTTCTTGTCCTGTAACAGGATCACTGGCCTCTTCTCCAAACATGGCATAAACTGTGACTGTGTACTCTGTATTAGGCAACAACCCACTCAATTCAATATCTGTGTGTGTCTCTCCAATTTTCATCTGTAAAGAATAGACATGAAAAGATGATTTGCAATGTGTATTATTCAGAGTGAGACTGAACAAAGGTGAGACTTTGTGGAACAAGACTTTGTCTCCTCACAACCTCTTCATCAAACAGGCTTTAGTCATGACTTCCTAATGGTCTCATGTCGTTGTATATTGGGAACAGGTAGTATGGTGTCATATAAAACCGAAAGTACCCATCCATGCTGTTTTAGGGTAACTCTTCACATCTAGATAAACAGCAACCACAGCAAGAATAACAGTGTTGAATATGTGGTCCCCAGAACAGTGTGGGTGGAATTGAATCAGAAATGTTCTCCAGAAAGTGTGAATTCCAGGCCAGTATGCTGGAGCCAGGGCCAAGTGGGCAACTTTCACTGCTTAACTAATTTTAACTGGTCTTCTGACAGCATGCCCAGCTTTGGCTTCGGATTCTATTAAGCGGGGCCAGTTCTGCTGCCCTTTTCAAGAAGAGGGCCTGTCCAGTTAGTTACAAGTCCCTTCCAGAAGAAAGACACTCACCTGACATCCAACTTGGCCATTTACTTTCTGATTTGGGGACAACTTTTCTAATCCTTGCAGTCAGTAGGTCAAACTAGACAACATTCTCAGTTGTGTGACAACTGTGTAACAAGAGAGTTTATGCTTTGGAAAGGGAAAAAAAATCTTCATAGATAATCTCTCACATGACTGCTACTTATTGCCAAGTTAAAACTTTTGCTTTTGAAATATGTCTCATATATAACATAAATCTGTAGAAAATAATATATACTCTGATGTATCCACTATTCAAATTTAATAAATATCAATACTTTGGTTATATTGATTTCAGATTTTATTTCAAAAAGGAGTAATTTATTCAAATAAAATAGAAGTTCTTTCCCATTCTTTATGTTCACAAATTATACCCCGGTATTAAAGTTACTGTACCCTTTTTTTTCTCTTACTTCTCTATCTGTATGTATATATCTATAAACAATATGTGGTCCTATACATTTAACAGTACACATAGATGGGACTATATAATTTGTTGGGTTTTTTTCTCTTCCAATATTATGTTTTGAGATTTATCCACATTGATACACAGGGAGATAGTTGATATTATTGATTCTTTTGTGGCATTCTTTTGTTTAAGTTTACTACTACTTTCCATTCTTCTACTCAAGAGCTTGTGAGTTATTTGCAATGCTTTGTTCCAATCAAGTACCTGTATTAAAACATTCCAGCAAGATAGTCTTCTAAGATATATATCAAAATAATAGCATGTACCTTCAATGTGATGAACTATTTCAAAATATTTCCAAAATAACTGTGCCACTTTACATCTCCACCAGCAATCCAGGAGTGTTTTCCCTGCATGCTCATTAATACAACAATATTCTCAGGTTTAAAAAAATTTCTGCTAAATGTGTTGGTTGTGAACTAGTATTAATTTAATTTTTATTTTTCTCTCTCCTAACGAGGCTGAATCTCTTTCCAGTACCATCATAAAACTGCTCTCTGTCAAAATAATTCAGGTCAATTTTAAATCCAAGTGGGAAAAAGCTATCTTAATCTTAGAAATAAGACAGGATATGTCCCTGGTGCTCTGTTCTCTTCTTCTTCTTTTCTTTCTTTTTTTTTTTTTTTTTTTTTTTTTTTTTTTTTTTTTTTTTGTATAGAGGTTTTTGCTATAGGACGCATGCACTCACTGGAGAGACAGAGAAATGGAGAGACAGAGAGTGAGAAGTCTCCCCCCCAAAGAGGATGGCCATGCTGCAATCCCTTCTCCTCCAGTTTCCTCTCAGGATTTTGAGCACACACGCACATGTGCCCAGTGGGAGTTGTAAGCCACTGGGTCTGGAACTTGAACCACAGTTAACTACATGGGCATTCAGTGATGTAACCATTAAGCCATCTGCTGATCCCCAATACTCTTTTCTTGATGCTCAAATTCACTATATATTTGACCAGAAAAATTTAAGTCTTTGAAGACAGGTTTTAAACAATGTCAGAGAGCTAAGATCTACATTGCCTCTCTATCTACTCCACATGCCCCAGCAAGACACTTCCAAGTATCAGAGACTCCACTTTAGTCCTTCAATGTCTGCATTACCTCCATTACCCCCGTAAAGTAAAAAAAATAACTAAAATAATTTGGAAATTAAACTTTATCCTTAAAAATGAAATAAATGCTAAAACTTCACATCAATGAAATATATTTGCCAACCTCTCAAATTCATAAGAAAAACAAGTTAATTCTGCATGTATGAAAAAAGTCTCTTACGAAATGCAGATAGTAAAATAAGTTGTATAAAATTTTCTAGAACCATTTGGTAGCATGAAGCATAAGTCTTAATAATTAGTATTTGTTTCTTTAAAAAAGAAACTCTGTTTTTAGAAATTTGTCCTAAAGAAATAAAGTGACAATCACACAAAGATACATGATAAGAATGTCCACAAAAGCATTTTTTCTTAGTGTAAACTACCTAAAGATACAACAACATGAAATTGATTAAAGATGACCCATACAAGCCAACAGTGGCATACTATAACTGCATAATATGACTTTATCAAATATCCTTTAATGTCATGAGAAGATATTTACAAAAAATAAAATGAAAACAGTGGTCTACAAAACCATTTCTATTCATTGTATCAAAATGCATTGAAGAAGACTGTAAACTAAATATTAACAATGGCTATCTTTAAATGGTTAGAATGTGTCATTTTTTTGGAAAACTGAGCTTTCTAAACTTTATATTAAACTTGCTATTAAAATAAACATTGTTAGAAGGAAGTCAGATTCAAGGACTCTAGTAGGTAGCAGGTAGTTACCTCTTTTTCATCCCCAGCCAGACCCTCAGTGAGTGGAGCATAGAGGATCAGGTATCCTGAGGCCCCCGGCACTGCATCCCATCGGACCCGCAGACTGTTCTCAGTCACATCATACAGTTCCAGGTCAGAGGCCATGGGTAAAGCAACTGAAGGAGAAGAATTTTTAAATGTTCAGTCATTTCTAAGTGCCCTTGAAGAAAATGAAATAATGAAGAAATAAGACTGGCTATATCTAAGGGACAGGTAGAAAGAATTAAGAGTAAAATGCAGAGAGCCTAATGGTGGTGCAACAGTAACACAACAGTCTGCAAGGCAGACCCACATGGGAGGATTCTAGAGACCTCCCTGAACACGCTGGGTGTACATGCATCTTTGATCAGGGAGTGGGGGAGTTGGGATTGGGAGGAGTGGATCGCAGCATAGGGTGCTTATCTTTTTGACTATCTCCCTTCTCCTTTATGGAAAGAAATAATTACACTTTAAAAAAAAAGAATAAATTGCAAGCTCTCTGCTTAAAGGGTCCAATGAAAAACATGGTGCATTCTTTTCAAATATTAATTCTAGACCTTCCATAGTGTGGCTTTGCCTACTTTTATAACCAGAGTATCAAGTTCAGGACTTTTGTGCCCCTTGCAGCACCTTGTGCAAGCTTCTACCAAAGTGCCTATAGCACTTCATTGCACTAATCTGCTTGCATGTTCTTGATTTGCAGCCTCATCCCCTTCCTAGATTAAAACATTCTTGAGTAGAGAGGCATTCACAAATGCCAGAGACCTTGCCAAGATAAATCTACCATTGTGTAGAAAATGATTGTCTTAGTGCCTGGTACGTTGTTATTAGTGTGGTTTACATTGTTATTGCTCAATTACAGGGAGCATTTTTAGAACAACTTTGTGTAGTAACCTAGCAGGTAACAGAAATTTAATGAATGTTTGAAGTGACTAAAATAATAGTTCATTTTTTCCTATGGTTCTCTGATTACTTTCTGTGTGCATAAGTGAGTATATGTACATACGTTTTCTCTGTGTGTTATCATGATCACACCCAAGGAAGGGATTATTTGTATTTAGAAGCTTGTTTTAATTAAAATGATAAGATCACTGAACAGAGATGTAACATAATTTCTTCAACTTTCTCCTGGGAAGGAGAGCTACAGAACGCCCTCCCTGCAGTTCTTGGCTCATACGAGGCATTTACTAAATGTTTAAGAAATAAGTGAATGTATTTTGCATCCTTCACCACCACAGTTGCTCTCTCTTAAACATTCCAGAAATTTAATATCCTTCTCAATATGTAGCACTTGCAAAACTGCAAATAGTGTGGGTCAGTGCCACATAGAGTGTCACTACTCTTTTCAATTCATTTGATTCAAGATACCCATTAATACAATCTGAGCAGAATTCCAACTTAGGAAAGGTCACTTATGCAGTGTTGTACAAAGTTGGAGGTAGGGTAGAGTTAAATACGTACGTGTCGTTTCAGTTCCACGTAGACCTTCACTAGCAGTATGGGCGTACACTGCAAATACTGCTATCTGATACTCAGTTAAAGACATCAAGTTTTTCAACACGGTGGAAGATACACTTCCATCCACCACCACCTGTTTAAAGAACAGTCCATGGAATAAGAATATAGAATATCTCACATAAAGAGTTGAGATAAAAAAGCAAAATATCTCCAGCAAGAACATCTTATTGAATATTTTATTTGTGCTGCATCCCCTTTATTTATTTACTTGTTTGTTTGCATGAGAGATTTTTGCTACAGGGCCAAGTGTTTGCCAGAGAGACAGAAAGGAAGAAGTCACCCCTCGGGTGAGATGACCACACCAAAATCCCTTCTACTGTATCTTCCTCTCAGGATTTTGGGCATGCAGGCACACATGCCTAGGGTGTTTCATGCTTCCAGGTCCAGGACTTGAACCAAACCAGCCATGTGGGAGTCCAGTGCCTTAACCACTACACCATCTGCTCCCACATCCTCTTTTCTACTATGGCAGTCAATTCTCCTTGAACTTCTACATGAAGTGTAGCACCTTTTTAAAGAACATGTCCAAAATTCTTCTATTAATTCATTTCTAATGGAAATTATATCATTTCCAGAGTAATTATTATTCTATTCTTATCTACTTAATAACAGCAGGCATGTAATATTTATCCATTGGAGTTTGGGGAAGCTTCTGAAACATTATTAGTCATAGAAAAGATAGAACCACTAGAAGCACTGACTTTTTTTTTTCTTGGTCCAGATGCTTTAAAATTCCATGATCTATTTTTCTAACACTTCAAAAAAGTCATAAATCCTGCCATATTACAGATGAAAATTGTGAAACATGGCTGAGGTCAATCAGAGGTTAGAACCAAAAAAAGGAAAGGGGATTTCATCACTTTTTAACATATTCCCTGTAAAATTGCTGCATTAAAGTTAGAAAACGGGAAGGATCCTATCATCTGGCAATAGGTATTCTTTCCTGTACTAGCCAAACCATTAAAAAAAATGCTAGCCATAGCTACTTTATTATGGCTTTTCCATTACATTACTCTACGAATGTCCAGGAAACTCCAAACCCTAGAATCCTGGTCTTATTATATGACCACATAATTTGGAACACACAGACTTCACTAAGGCAGCAAGCTCAGGCCTCGCCCAGGTAAAATGAATGCACACAGCAAAAGACGTCTTGGCCGGATAATTAGCTACTGGTGCCTTTTGCTTTAGAATCTACTAATTGTAAAAATAAAAATAAATTATTTTAGAAGGGCATACTTGACCAGTTCTCAGCAATGTTCCTGAGAACTGGGCTATTTGATGGACACACAGGAGAAGATACAAGTATTATAATCCAGAGAGATAGGAGAGTAATAGGGACATATGGAAATGTAGTTCAGTCAAATAATTTTAAATGTTTGAGACAGAATAATTTCCTTATACATTCATTTCTGTCTTGTTCTCCCTACTGCAAAACACTTGAGGGAATGAAAAGGCTGGTTCAAAAACAGTGTCTTTTTATTACCTCATCTGGTTTTCCACCCCTGGTAGGATAATATACAACTCTATATTTTTCAACATCTCCTGGGGCATGAGTCCAGTTAACCATAAAGCTTCTAGCTGTAACTTCAGAGGTAATCAAGTCCTGAGGTGGTCCAATAGTGATGAGAGCTGAGGCTAAATTGAAAACGAAAAAAAGAAAATGAAACAAAAAGACACTTCAAATCAATCTCCTTCTCAAAGTTATTTCTTATGAACCTAAGAAATTGTATTAGTCAAAATGACAATTGATTTGGGCTGCCTCTAAGATTTTCATCTCCATGTAAGTCGATCCAGTTATTCACTCCTTCATTTGTTCATTCAAACATCAAGTGTCTGTCAGGTACCAGACTCTGTGCCAGATTCTGAGAATACAAGCTTAAGTAAGTCAAGATCCTTGGGCCCAAGGATCTCTCCTAAATTAAAGACACAGTTAATGGATAACAAAGACGAAGATTAACTGAACGTGCATGCATCCAAAGGTACTCTTCTGAACGCCATACAAACATTATTTCATTTAATTCTCAGTAGTTACTATTATTGTTTGTGTTTGGCAGATGAGAAAAATCAAAGGACAAGAAGTTAAATAAGTTGACCAAGACCTCACAATTAGTAAGTATCAGGGCTAAGGCTGATATCTGGGCTTCTTGACACAAAAGTCTGTGTTTGGAAGTATCAGAGACTACCTGACTGAAGGCTTCAAGTGAGTTGACCAATATCTAAAATTAAACAAACAAATATTGATGCCCATGATGAGTTACTCTGTGTAAAAACATTTTGTGTATATTAAATGCAGGTGAAAGCAAATGATCTTATACATGTTAAAGCAAATGATTCTTCAATTATTCATCACATAAAATCTGAGTGGAGAGGATATAAAATGTTAAAATTATAAGAAGGAGGTGGAATTTACAGCCTTATCACCCTGTAGGGGTACTTGCTGAAAGGGACTATAATCACAATAAGGTAAAATAATAGTTTTAAATACTAATATCAGAAACTTCACTATGTGATTTGTCATCAAACACATGTAGAGATCTTTTTGGTGAGAAAAGCTGGGCTTTAAAGCAATCTCACTCCAAAACCTAGAGATATTTGCTCTAGATCCTATTGTTTGTGTGCCCAATGAAATCCCCAAGAGATCTGATTTGGGGGGGTGGGGAAGAATGATGGAAGAGAGAACATATAGCCACATAAGACTATTTCACACTCCTGGAAACAACAGAGGCAAGAAATAAAGCCAGACTCTTAAAAGATAACCAGGACACAGCCAGTTCTCAGATCACTCCCTCTAAGCCACATGTAAACAGGTATAAACTACAAAAAATGATATTGCGAGGGGGTAAAAGTTAAAAATCCATGAAGAATGTGAACCCAGTAAACTTTTTTTTCTATTTCTCCTGTTAGATATAACTACAAATTCAGAAAGTTATATGCAAGACAAGCATAAGAAGACACTGAAAACTTGAGAGAGGGCAGAAGGATAGGGAAATTCAGAACTCAAGGAATGACACCATTCCAAAGGTGGGCTCTCTTTTTCTTTTAAACTCATATATCCAAGACAAAGAGCTACAGTATCTGACAATTTAGAAGCACCAACAGACACAGACAGAAAAATAAAATAAACTAAAGAGGGATCCTCAATAAAGCTTGCTCTCTTCAGCCAAAGGACCAGGGAAGGGCCAACCTATCATGACAGAAAACTTTTGGGCAACAACTATTCTACTCCAAACACTGCAGGAAACAACTGTAGCCCTCACTTCTACCTGTGCAAGCCCTAACTCCCACTTTTTCTTGGCTGTAATAGGGTACCCCCAAATCTACTCCCACTCCCTCACTCCAGCTACAGTAGTTTGTAAAATATCAAGAAGGGGAGAAATATTCATCCCCAACAGGTGGTAAGGGATGCTTCCCCACACAGCACCATCCGTGATGTCAGAAGACACCACATGAAGAGCCTGCCCGGACTCCCAACCCAAGTGGCAGTAATGAGACACTACTCCTTCTCTACTGTGGAATGTGTCAGAGGAACCTGAGGGATGAGTCAGGACTTACACCACTGTCCAACAGCAAGGAGGCCACTCACAGCAGTGTCAGTGGAAGCTACGTGGAGAACCGTAATGAGGTACTCCTGCTCCTCCAATAAGTGATATTAGTGGAAAGTCTAATGAGTAGCTCCTCACCTCCTTATGATTATAAAAAGACCAAATCATTAACCTGGACTCCTACCTGACAAAAATAAGGCAATGACACCCCTCCCCCTGCTGGAGTGGAATAAAAGAAAGGCAGCTAAATCAGAAGATGCAACCATCCGAAAAATGCTTCCATTAGTAATTACAGTCAGAAAAGGAAAACTTAAAACTCTTACAACTCTCAACAAAAAAATTAAAAACCCTTAACAAAGTACAAAAGATAATACAGAAAAGAAGATACAAAAAAGAAAAAAAAAGTGGAAATTTTAGGAATAAAAAATACTATAACCAAAAATTGAAAAATAAAACCTTAAGTAATTGTTTCAACAGCAGAATAAAAGAGCAAGGCAGAGGAAAGACTCAATAAACTTCAAAATGAAGTTTACCTGATCTGTAAATTGTACAGAAAATAGATTTTTAAACAAACAAAACAGAGCTTCAGAGACATGTGGGATTATGACAATATGACAAAATATTTTAAATTCATGTCATCAGAGTACTAGAAGGAGCAAAGAAAGAATTCAGGGATAAGAAAGTACTTGAAGAAATAATCCCTGAAAATTCTCCAAATTTAGCAAGTCATATAAACAACAGATTTAAGAAAACAAGTGTTCCCCAAACACAATAGGTCCACAGAAATTCACACTAATATACACCATAGTCAAACTTGGATAACAAAAGGGTAGCTAAGGATAGTAAAAGCTAAACACAAAGAACAAAATCTTAAAAGAGAAAAAAAGGATATTTTACCTATAGGAGGAAATCTATTTGAATAACAGCAGACTTCTCATCAGAAACCATGGGACCCAGAAGGAAGTGGCACCACATTTCTCAAATGCTGAACTAAATTAACTGTCAACCCAAAACACTATATCCAACACATGACAATAGCAGAAGATGCATCTTTTTAAAGCATCTAATGGACACTATAGATCCAATGTAACAGAATAGGGAACCCAGAAATAAATCCACACAATTATGCCCAACCAATAGTTAGCAAAAGAAAAAGAATTCGATAGGAAATGGCAAAAGACATGATCAAACATTTCACCAAAAAGAAAACAATGATGAAAAATAAGCATGTGAAAAACGTACCACTTCATTAGCCATGAGAGAAATGAAAATTAAGACTATAGTGTTCTGTCACTACACCACCTATCAGAACTGCTAAAACAAAAATAGTAACGATAAATACTGGGGACAGAGTGCAAAAAAACTGGATCATTCATACAATGCTAGCAGAAAGATAAAATGCTACAGCTATGCTGGAAAATAGTTTGGCAATTTTTTAATGAAAACTAAACTCTATTAAACACACAGCTAGGATATTATCCAGCCATTGTATTCCTGGGCATTAGCCCAGAGAAATGAAAGCTTATGTTCTCACAAGAACCTATACATGAATATTCATAGCAGCTTGTTTCATAACAGACACAGACTGGAAACAACCCAAGTGTCCTTCAATGTGTGAGTGGTTACATAAACTGTAGCACATCCATATTTTGGAATTTAATAATACAATAAAAAGCAGAGCTGCTGACACATGTAATAACTTGAATGGGTCTCCAGAGAATTATTCTCCATGAAAAAAAAATAAAGTCAGTCCCCAAAACTTAGATACCACATAATTGCAGTTGTGTAATATGTTTGAAATGAAAAAAAAGAAAAAGAAAGGAAGGAAGGAGTGAAGCAAGCAAGCAAGCAAGCAAGGAACTGATTAGTAGCTATCGGGGTTAGGTAAAGGGATATAAGTGAGGGTGACTATAACAGGACAACAGAGGGGATCCTGGGGATGTTGAAAATGTTCTGTGTCTTGACTGTAGCAAAGACAATATCCTGCTCATGACAATATCCTGCTTATGACATTGTGCTGTAGCTTTGTAAGATGCTACCACTGGAACAATATGGAGATTCCTCAGAAGGCTACAAATAGGACTACCAATGACCCAATAATTCCACTCTTAGATATCTACCTTATGGATAGGAAAACCCTCAGTTGGAAAAACATTTGCACACTCATATTTACTGCAGCATTATTTATAATTGCTAGGACATGGAATCAACCCAAATGTCCAAGAACAGATGAGTGGATTGAAAAAATATGTAATCTAGGGATTACTACTCAACCATAAAAAAAAAAAAAACAGTGAGACCCTGATATTCAATACAAAGTGGACAAATATAGAAGATTTAATGCGAAGTGAAGCAAGCCAGACTGTGGAAGACAGGCACTGTATGTCCCCACTAAATGTACACTGAATGTCTGTGCTTTTTAGCAGAAACTGAAAGGTTGGAAGGTGTAATAGCGGGGAGGGCAACTGTAGAAACTAGAAACAATAAAAGAGGGGAGTGAATAATAGGGAGTGGGAGGGGGATCAGGGCGAAAAATAAACATTTAATAAATACAAAAATAAAAAGTTATCTGTTGATGACAATAAATATGGTAATGTCTTTGACTTGACTAATATATACTTTATTCATGCAAGGAAAAACCATGCTGCTGTACAGTGTAAAGATGTACAGTGATCGAATGCAAATAAATTTTTAAAAAGATGCTACATTGGAGGAAATTGGTAAAAAAAAAAAATACACGACCTTTCTATGTGTTATTTCTTACAACTGGATGGGAATGCATGATTATTTCAAAGTTAAAATTTTAATTTAAAATAAACTGTGATGATGGCCTAAACAGAACACTATGAAAGAAATCATTCACTATTACAATATCTGTTCCTAATCCCCATAAAGCCTGCTAATACACTCTGTTTTCTACTCTGAGGACTCAGTTCTTTAAAAAAAAAAATAGTTTTAGGAAGCCAACATGAAAAACGATACAAATTTTCATAATCCACCATAAACTTTTGTGCATGATTAATACCAACATCCACAGGACTGCTCTCCATCATTCATTTTACCTTTAATTTCCTTGTCCTGTTCTTCCACTCTGGAGCACACAGTCCTCGTCAGACTCTCCACAACTGTGTGCATCAAGTCAAATTCAGCAACGTTGTACACATGGGTGCTGTCTGGCTCAGAGGCGATCTCTTGCAGTTCATTCACATCCGCGTTTTTCACCCCTTGCATTGAGGACAATAGGGAAGATGGTGACATTCGTGCCCATTGGAAAGAGCAATGGCAGTGAGCCTGACCTGATCATCTGTCTCCACCACACCCAATGCTTGTTGAATCCTCACAAGTAACTCTATGATTTTTTTTGGGGGGGGAGAAATTTTCGCTATAGGGCGTGTGCACTCGCCAGACACACAGAGAGAGACATAGAGACAGAAAGTGAGAAATCACCCCCCAGGGGAGATGGTCATGCCACAATCCCTTCTACTCCATTCTCCTCTCGGGATCTTGGGCACGCACGCTCACGTGCCCGGCGTGAGTTTTAAGCCACCGGGTCCAGGACGCGAACTGCAGTTGACTACATGGGAGTCCAGCGACATAGCCATTACACTAACTGCTGGTTCCCATCTATGATTTTGACACTACTACTTCTGCCACTTTACAGATAAGTACATGTGCACCAAGAAGTTAACTTGCCCACAAATATACAGTTATTACATGTACAACTGATATTCCACTATATTACACTGCCTTTCAGAAGACTATACATTTAAATGAGTACATATTTATCAGTGAAAATAGAGATAGAAAATGAGAAGCACAAAGTTGGGTTCTGTTTAAGCCCTGTCATTTCAGTCCTCTGAGGATGTTAAAAGGAGGCACCATGAAAGTAAAGAGAGATTACCTGTGAAAACGTGAACTACTTCTCTGATGTCTGGCTGTACTAATGAAGTTATCTGCTAACCTCAACATATTAAGTAACAAAGCATTAACTGTCTCTGAACTATTTGCTTTAGGAGGTTATAAGATAATAAATACTGTCGATGTCCAGGTAATTTCCAGAGAAAAAGGCCAAATCACATCTGGATGAATTCATTTAAAGCTTTGCTGAAAAACACATCCATCAATTCTTAACAAGAGCACAGAACGGAAGGCAAAAGCATAAGTTAATCCTGCATTAGTTCAAGTTTTAAGCAGAGATTTCCTTTGTTGGACAAATGAACAGAAGTAAATAAATCAATCTCTCTGAGGTTTCTTGCCTGAAGGACTGTACAGTTGCTCCTAAAATGCACATCTGAATCAATATAACATTGAGTGCATGCTGAAACCATGGTTTAGTGCCAATAATGGTTTTTCATGGCTCTCAGTTAAAACCAACAAGTTGGGACTCATACAAAAATATTCTAGGAAAGACAGTTCTCAAACCTCTTTCTGTCTTTCTCTCTCTCATCTTTCCCAATAAAGTAGTTTGTTGCAACTGCATGGAAAAGAGATGGAATGGCTGCCATGACTTTGAATGAATTGGTGTCCAAAGGATTTTCGCCTTTCTCATCTTTGTGCCAGCACCCACCACAGTGCCTGGCACGCAGTAAATAAGGAAGTACTTCTGGAATAAAGCAGTCCAATGAACCACATTTTGAGTAGCAAATCTAGGAATGGGTCAGAGAACTGTTTTTGTGGGTTTGTTTTTAGTTTTCTTCATTGATAGCTCTGAAAGTTCTACTGTTCAACTTTAGGGTGAGAACTGTTATTGCCAAGCAAATTTGAATCAATTCCTAGAACCAAGTTAACATTTATCTTTAGGACTGAAGGTAGCATATAGTTAAAGTCATTTAATTTACTGCCCTTTTAAGTTCCAAGGGTGTGCTGATAAATGCAGTGACTATTTAACAATTGTATGCTCTAGTTTGTAGTATTTGCTCATTTCTAGAGGACAAATATCCCATTCTGACTTATTTCAAGCCACCAAAGTGAGGCCACAGCATGCAGACATGGGAAGAGATGTGCACAGTTGACTCTTGCAAACAGGTATAAGCTGGCTTCTGCACCACATTGAGACATAACACCCACCCTCTCTACACACACACAAATGCACTCAAAATATTAAGACCGCAATTAACCGATACTAAATTTGAACATAATACATTCTTAGTGTTTCTTCCTGAATTTATTTTGCCTTTTCTTCTGTGAATAAAAATGTAGAAGTAATATTTGTATTACTGAAGGATAAAATACATTTCTCTTACATGTATCTTTTATAAACTTTTTTATGTTTAATACTAAGGGCAATGTTGTCCTTAGTATTATTATTATTATTCCTCAGCTACATATTGGACACATTAAATGTCAAGCACTGGGTTAGGTGACCAGAAAGAAAAGATAAAGAAGATACAACCTTGCCATTTAGGGACCGATCAGATACACTGCAGGAATAAGGAAAATAAAAGGGATGGAAGCTATTCTCTGTACTTCTGCAGCTATTCTCAGACAGTACTTGACAGAACACTACAAAGAAATACTTTTTAAAAACGACTGATCAGAAACATCCTCTGGATAGAATAAAATGCATAAATAGGGAAACTTATTAGGATCTTTCTCCAAGGAAGAGAAACCAGTAAGTGTAGAGGAGATATTCAATGGGTTAACCAGTAGTTCTCAATCCTTGGAGAATTTGTTTTGTTTTTGTTTTTGTTTTATTTGTTTGTTTTGCCAGAGAAAACGTATTCAACAGAGACTAAGAGAGGAAAAGTGAAAAAGCACCCCCTGATAGAGAATAGTCTAATGCAATCTCTTCTCCCTCTCTCTTCCTTTCAGGACTCTAGGCATGAATGCACACACAGTGTGTTTTTCAAGGTACCGGGTCCAGCACTTGAACTATACAGTTGACCGCAAGAGATCCAGCCACCTTAACCACTACACCACAGGCCAGCCCTTGAGGTTGCTTTTAAAGTACAGTTCTGGGTATGTTTTTAAACTGTGGCTTCCTAGGCTCATTCTCCCTGGATATTTCAATTTGGTAGAACTAGAACAGGATGTTGGAATCTAGGTTTTACCCTGGCGCTCAGTATCTCTTTCCTAACTGTTCTATAACTACAAGAAGAATATTCTCTTCTCCTTGAAGAAACATCTCACAGAGAGTTCATGAAGAGAAGACTGCACTATATTATTGATAAAAGCAGGGAGATAAATCCTTTTTAATTGAAAGCAGATTGAAAGCCAACCAAATAACTAAATGTATAAAACATGGCTGGCCTCTGGCATGGTAGTTGGGGCTATTGGATCCCCTGTGGCCAACAGCACAGTTCGAGCTCCAGACCTGGTGGCTTGAGAAAAATACCAGCGCATGTGCATGTGTGCCCAAAATCCAGACAGGAAAGAGAAACAGAGAAGGCATTGCAGCACAGGTATCCCCCATGGGGACTGCTTTCTCACTTCTCCTCTCTTGTCTCTCTCTCTGGTGAGAACGTGCACTCCCCTGGCAATACTTTTTTTTTTTTTTTGAGAGGTTTTTGCTATAGGGCAAGTGCGCTTGCCAGATAGACAGAGAGAGACAGAGTGACAGAAAGCAAGAAATCACCCCACAGGGGGGATGGCCACACCGCAATCCCTTCTCCATTCTCCTCTCGGGATCTTGGGCATGCACGCTCACGCACCCGGCGTGAGTTTTAAGCCACTGGGTCCGAGACGCGAACCGCAGTTGACTACGTGGGAGTCCAGCAACATAGCCACTACAATAACTGCTGGTCCCAATACTTTTTTTTTTTTTTTTAATCCGTAAAACAAAATGAAATGGACTGTTCATAATGACCAATATGAAATGTCTTCAGAGCCCTGTTGAGGAATTTGCTGTGGTATTTTGATATGTATTTCAATGTTGCTTAGTAATTGGGCATTTTTTTCTACTGAGAAAGTTCATTGGTGTCTACTAAATAGAAGACGTTCCTACTGACAAAGAAAATGTAAGCATTTTAATCAAGAGCAAAATCACGTCCTGTAAATATTTTGTACTTTTTCTGAATGATGTTATATATATCCCTTCTCACAAGCATCAAATAGTGAGTTAATTTCAGATAAGTAATACTGTATCTGTAGAACTTTGTGCTTTCTTTAAATAGAATCCTAATTCCTTCAAAATAACACACTGGTTTCCTTCTATACTACAAAAAAAGATGCCTATAAAGTGATCTTAAAGAAAAAGGCCTGACTAATTGAACAATAAAAATTATATCCTGGACAAGCAGATAGTGTAATGGTTATGTCACTAGATTTCCACATAGTCAACCACAGTTTGAGTCCCAGATCCGGTGGCTTAAAACTCTCACCAGGCACATGTATATATGTGCCCAAAGTCACAGAAGAAGAATGGAGGAGAAGGTATTACAGTGTGACCATCCCCCTAGGGGGTGATTTCTCACTTTCTGTCTCTCTGTCCCTTCAGGAAGCATCTATAGCAAAAATCTTTCTAAAACAAAACAAAACAAAACAAAATTCCCTGACATTTGCATGCCATTCTATGCTTATTTTTCTTATTCTTTTTTTTTTTTTTTTTCTTTTGGGTATGTGAGCCTGCCAGAGAAAAAGAGGGAAAGTAAGAATGCACCCTCCAGCCACAAATGGCCACGCTTAAATCCTGTCTCCTCCATTTTCCTCTCAAGATTTTAGGCACACATGCACACGTACCTGGGGTGTTTTCAAGTTGCCAGGTCTGGGACTCAAACTACACAGCTGGCCATGTGAGATCCAGCTGTCTTAACTACTATGCCACTGACTGGTCTTACTGTGTGCTTTTTACAACATTTTATATATGAACATCTTTTTTTTTTTTTTTTGAAGAGATTTTTGCTATAGGGCACGTGTGCTCGCCAGACAGACAGAGAGAGACAGAGAGATAGAAAGCGAGAAATCACCCCCCCAGGGGGGATGGTCATGCCGCAATCCCTTCTCCTCCATTCTCCTCTTGGGATCTTGGGCACGCACACACACACGACCGGGGTGAGTTTAAGCCACTGGGTCCGGGACTTAAACCGGGTTGACTACATGGGAGTCCAGCGACATAGCCATTACACTAACTGCTGGTCCCTATATATGAAAATCTTACCTAGAGATCTTTATACAATGGGATATATGACAGTGACTATCCCTTCCATTGAAAACATAAGGAAGCTGGGCTCAGACCACAGGGCTGACAACAGCAAGAGCCAGGACTAGAAAGTGCTCGGGTCTCCTGGCATTCAATCAACTACCTTTTGCATTGTTACTATATTTAGTGCTTGCGTATCTATGCCTGTAGCTGAAACGGGACCATAAAGAACACATACCTATGGCAAACAGCTCTACACCAGACTCACGAAGGTTTCTGGATGGTGGAATAATATCATCTTGGGATTTTCCATCTGTGATTAAAATGCCAATTTTGGATACTCCAGTCCTTGACCCTGCTTCTGGTTTAAAGCTATTTTCAAAAATATAGTTCAAAGCAAGACCTTGGAGAAAACAAGAAAAATAAACATAAACCAACCATTTCTAATAAAAATCCTTCTAATTCTGCAAAATGAAACCACAAGATGGGAACCTTATTGAGCAAAATGAGTTCTTATTAAATGAAAAACTTCATTTTACAACAACCGGGCCCTTAACAGATCTGATATAAAACTAAACTCCACCACAAAAGGTAATAAAAATGATTGAATACTGCATCATTTCAGAAAGAAGCATTTTTTTTTTAATTTAATTTATGGCCAAACAAGGTTAGCAGATCTTGTATACAAGAAAATCTCATCCTTTACATTTTAGGATGAAACAAGAATATCTACAATAGTGACTATTAGAAAATAATACCATGCTTTCGAAAGACTCAAAACTTCTCTTTCATTCTCTCTTATTCTTCTAGAAGTATTGGAAATGGATTGAAACATATTAATTGTACTCCTACCTTCGGAATGTGACATTTTCCACCCAGAAAAAAATAAACGCCGCAATACTGTTATAGAAGTTGTGTTCAATGATTGTTTTTATTGCATTACCAAAGATTCCACTAGATTATGACTCAAATGAGAAAAGCAATTATCCAGATTTCCGTGGTTTACCTGAAAGTCCATAACAGCATGCACATTTTTCATGCCGAGCATCTTTATCATGCGCCCATGGAAGGGAAAATCGAGTACTTGTACAGGTTAAAATCTGTACAAGCTCTTTATGGTTGTGCTTTGGATAACTATAATGTAAATATTTTTACATTAATCATCCATCAAAAACACTGGTGAGCCAAATACTTTTGTGATAACTACTGATTGCATAGAAAGGGCAAAGAAAATACCTTCTTTGAAAATAAAGAAATACGTTTTCATCTCAATGACAGGATTGCTGGAAGAGATAAGAGTGAGAAAAGAAGAAGGAAATGAACTAACAAAGATTAAACATGTGGGATTAAACATGTGGGATTGCCTCATTTTCTCCCAACACAACCAAGTCCTGTTTGGGGATATTACTTACATATAGCAAAAGTACTGCATACTTTTACTTATGTGTGGAAACTAAAAAGGAAAGTAGAGAGTAGGGGAATGACTTCTAGAGGCTAGGGAAAGTTGCAGGGAAGCAGGTAGAGAGATAAGTGAATGGAAACAAAATAACAGAGAGAGGAGAGAACGAAGATCCAGTGTTAGGAAGTACAGGAGGATATAATTCACAATACTTTTCTGCCTCTGTCAGGGCAACTAAGAAAGAGGGCTCTCAATGTTCCCAACACAAAGTAACAATGCATGGCCAAGATAACATATATGCTAATTACCATGATTTAATCATTACACATTGTATCCTTGTACTAAAAATCACAACATACCCCATAAATATGTCCAGTTATTAATATATATCCTTCCACCTTTTACAAAGGAGCCAAATGATTGATTTTATTGTTTTACCAAAGAAGTAATACAATAATAGTTTTATTACCAATGAGGTAATAAAACTTTTTGTCAGCAAGATATGTTTGTTGCTAAAAATATGAAGTGCATAGAACATACCTGTTAGCGTATTTCCTCCCTTGTATGGAAGGTTTCGAACAGCTTCAATCACCTCGTCTTTGGTGCTGAAGGCATTCAAATGCCATTCAATTCTGGGGTCACCACTATATTGTGCAAGACCTGGAAAAGATAGACAAAGAGTCCACCAGAAATGATGGGTTACTCAAAGACCTAGTGGACTATTTGAAAAAACCAGAACAGTTCATAGTTTAATCTTTGCAACAATTTTTTTCCTTTGGCTATATACTTTCAAAAAGGCTCCATCACATCAATTAAAAGGATCAAGTTAGATCTATTTGAAACTGGGGTAGAGGTGTACATATTTCCTACCACTTAAAAGTCAGCACCAAAATTAGGTAGTTGGTATTTGAAAAAGGAAATACTTGATTATGTTTGTAGGTAAAAAGTCTAGACTTATTTGTTGTTTTATTCTCAAAGAAATGATTTTCCTTTATGGCTATTTAAAAGCTAAACAAGATATTCGATATAATAAAGATTTATTATCTTTATTATTTAAAATATTGCTCAAAATTTACAACTTTTTCTTTCTCTTTTTTTTTTCTTTTTGTCTTGGCTAAAATTAATTTGCCAAACATTATTTTGTACTATATAGTTACCTTCCAATTTAGTAGTCTAACATTTCCCTGGATTCAGATATTTCTTTTAAATAAAAGAAAACTACTGATAAATTATTAAACCATTTGTATCTTTAATGCTTCATTATTACTAACAAATACTTTGATTCTTCAAAAAATATAATGTGTATACTAACTAAATTTGCCTAACAAACTCAGTAGGAATAAACATTTATTGATTCAAATATGCACTTTTGGGAACAATAGAAAAATTGAGCCTATAATCCTGAAAGTCATTTTGTAAAGAGTTTCTGAAATTTTTAAAAATTCTCAGCAGGGTTACATTGACAGCAGACTGCTATTAACAATGGATGTACCAATTCGTGTCTTCTCTGAGCCCACATCGAACGCTGTAACCAAATTCTCCAAGAAAAGCCGAACCAGTCTGAAGTTGAACCTTCCAATACTCCATGAACCATCCACCAGGATTACAATGTCGGCAATTGCAGGCGTTTGACAGACAAATTTCGGCTCTGCAAAGCAAAAACCAGAAAAGCACATGAGTTACTATTGACCCTTTCAAAAGAGGGGGTCTATTTGAAAATCTTTCAGATAACTTGGTGCTAAGAATACAAGAACATTCCCATTCAAGCAGCCATCTTTTTATAACCCTTCCCTTAAAAGCATTTTCACTAGGAAAAAACTGTGGTGATGGTTGGCAGCAAAGCCAGTGCTCTGGAAATAGTTAGCAAAATACTGGCAGGTTCACACCAGTCTGGCAACTCTGCCTTCTGCGTAGTTTAGAAACTAGTGTCTGTGCAAAATCATCCAGCTTTGGCCTTTAGCCTGTAGATTCTTTCCAGGAAAGGTCTTAGCAACACCAGTGTGGGCCAGTCAGCGGAGATGGGAAGACGGCCAGGAAGCAAAAGGCAGCTCTCTTATTCTGATAAGTCGATGCTAGAAATGTGGACTTCCCTAATTCAAGACTTTGGAGAAAGAAAATTGGAAAAGGTTCAAGAGTTTTCCCAAATACATCTTTTTATTTGTTTGTTCATGGTGTCTATGTGACAATAAGATTTTGTCCCTAAAGATCATTTAAGTAATTGTTTTTATTTTAATCTTATTTTTCTGTTTGTTTTTACTAGAAGTTGTGCCTGCTTACCAGAGCGAGACAGAGAGAGAGGGGAAGGAGAAAGCACTGTGCATTGGGGAAGGTCACACTGCATTCCCTTTTCTCTCTAACTCTCTCTCCTTTTGGGACTGGGCATGCACATATGTGTGCCCAATATGGGCCCAGGAGTCAACCTGCACTATTAGCCACGTGGAACTCAGTTGCATTAGCCATTAGGTCACAGAGCTGGCTCAGTAATCGATTCTTAGATGGTTCAATTAGGACTCAGGATAAGGGTCCAGAAAAGGAGTGGCACTACTTGAACTTTGCCAATGGGAAAGGTCCCCACCCTCCTGGAATGAGGCTGAAGACAAAGGCTAAGTCTTCTCAACAAAGAAGGAAATCAATGGCTATAGGGCAGGCTGGCGTTGATTAGGTCAAACCACCATGTCCTTTCACACAGATCCAAGATTCTGGGATAGTCTTCTCCTGGTTTTGTTCTTGTTTTTGTTTTTTTGTCCAAGTCTTTGCCATAGGGTGCATGCACTCGCTGGAGAGAGGGAGAGGAAAAATGAGAAATCATTCCCCAGGAGGGATGGCTGTGCTGCAATCTCTTCTCCTTTATTCTCCTCTCAGGATTGTGAGCACACACATACTTGAATCCAGTGTAATTTTCAAGTGGCCAGATCTGGAACTCAAACTGTGCTGGGCCATGTAGGCGTTCAGTGCCTTAACTCTACCTGTTGATCCACTGGAATATTCTTAAAATATCAAGGTGTATTTAGTGTCCATGGCAGCATTGCTTTATCCTCTACTCTGTGCCTTCACAGGACTGCTTAATCTTACTGAATTTTCATATTAGGATTGGAGATTATAAAATAAGCATGTGTTTCCTGTATCTGGTCCAGAAAAACCCTACTTAATATTTTTTTAAACATAAAATGACAATAAAACAATGTTGAATATATAGTTTATACAATGAAAACCAAAATACAAAAGTGATCACAAATTGAATATGTTTTTACCAAAAAAAAAAAAAACAGTTCAACTACTAAAGTTGACATATTGACATAGACAACTTAATAAATGTATCTCTGCATTTATGAAGTCACATTTTGCTCAAAGGATCTTAATTTTTACAGACATAACTATGCATAGAGTAACTTGATCATTTTACTAAATGAGAAAAAACTGTATTTGTGAATGAAGTAGTCCAATTTTCATTATGAAAGCTGAACAATACAATTCAATTCAAAGTTTATATATTATATGTATTGGCAACAACTTTCCCTTCTTTAATAATCAAATACAAAGCCAACTGCTTTCTATTTTAGAGTCAGGCATACTGTACTACACTGAAAAAAAGGCTAAAGTAGAATACTGCAAGGAGTCATGGGATAGAAATTAATTTGTTTTTGGATAAAACTAGGCAAAATTGGAATCTGATCAAGCTTCAAAAATCCATTTCTACCAGTTTGTATGGGAAAATCTTACTCTCAGATAAAGACTATCTTCTTATTCTCTTATAGAATTACTGGGCATATTATTTTATTTTACTTATTTGGGAATAATGTAGAAAGACTCTTAGGAAGAGAATGCTCTCTGCTTATTTAGAAAAGTATTAAATAAACTAGTATTCTGTATAAAAATCATTTCCAATAAAAATATTTTAGTCAGCTCATTCAAGTCATAACTGACCTGAAGATACAAATCATACTAACCTAAGTAAAATATAAAATTAAGTGACTATAATTTGAAAATTTGAAAATTTTAATAATATTAAAATTGTTAAAGTGGAGCTAACAGGTGGCATAATGGTTAAGGTGCTGGACTCCCCACATGGCCAACCGTGATTCAAGACACAGACCTGGTGGTTCAAAAATCACACTGGATGTGTATGAGTACATGCCCAAAAGCTCAAGAGGAGAACGGAGGACAAGGGATTGCAGTATGACCATCTACCCTGGAGGGTGATTTCTCACTTTCCCTCTCTCTGTCTCTCTCTGGTAAGTGCCTATGCCCTAAAATAAATAAATAAATAAATAAATAATTAAAATTTTAAAATTTATTCATCAAAAGGCATCTTAAAGAAAATAAAATAAAAATTTAAAATTTATTCATCAAAAGGCATCTTAAAGAAAATAAAAAGGTAAGTTTCACTCGGAGAAGACATGCACAATATAAAAGTCTGAAAAAGGGGGCCAGCAGATGGCATAGTGGTTACATCACTGGATTTCCACATGGCTGACCTCAATTCAAGTCTCAGACCTTGTGGCTTGAAAATCATGCTGAGCATGTGTGCATGCTTGCCCAAGATCCTGGGAGGAGAATAAAAGGGAAGGAACTACAGCATAGTTATCTCCCCAAGGGGTGATTTCTCACTTTCCCTCTCACTGTGTCTGTGTCTCTCTCACTCCTGTGAGCACATGTGCCCTAAGGCAAAAATCTCTAAAATAAAAATCTGAAAAAAATTAGTATCAGGAATAAAGAACCATGAGCAAGAATAGGAGATTATCTATGTATGTCTATATAATATATAATATATATAAGAATAGACCTATATATGATCAATAAACAAAGGAAGAGATATTTAACTACATTAGTGACAACAGAAACAAAATCAGAGGATCACAATAAAATATAATTTGTGCCCATTCAATTAGCAAAAGTTAATAAGTACATTGCCATTTATAATTGCCCCAAATATAATGTTAGGTAAGGTATGCTAAAATTCCAAAACAGATTTTTTAAAAAAAAACAAGGATTTAAATAAGTGGAGAAATTCACTGTGTTCATGGATTGGAAGACTCAGTATAGTAAAGATGCCCATCATTTCCAAATTGATCCATTTGTAGATGTAGATTATTTCTATGTACATCTTAAGAGGCTATTTTCGGTCAGACATAAACAAGCTGATTTTAAAATTTAAATAGAAAAGCACAGACCCTAAAATAACTAAACCAATTATGACAGCTAAGAACAAGTTAGCCTACTATATGGCTAAAATAATCCATATGATGTAGCATTATGGAGGGACAGATATACATCAAAGAAAAAAACAGAATATGAAAACAGACACATACATGCTCAACTTTTTTAGACAAATTTGCAAAAGCATCCCAACAGAGGGTGATGGGAAAACTGGACATCCATAAACAACAACAAAAATGAACCTTGACCTAAAACTCACACCTTATAGCAAAATTAACTCAAGAGGGATGGTGGACTTATACGTAAAATGTGGAACTATAAAATTGTTATGAAAAAATAGCAAAAAATAAAAAGCTTTGGGATCTAGGGCTCTACAAAGAGTTCTTAGAGTTGCCATCAAAAATACAGAAGAAAAGGGTTGGCAGTTGGCATGGTGGTTAAGGGCGCTGGACTCCAACATGTCTGACCTTGGTTCAAGTCCCAGACCTGGTGGCTTTCTCTCCCCCCGCCCCCCACCGCTCTGGTAAAATTAAAAAATTAAATAAATGGGTAAATAAAGTTAAATAAAATAATTATTTTAAAAAATATATACAAAACAAAAAGGGAAAAGTTAACTAATTGAACCTCATCAAAAGTAAAATACATTTGCTTGGCCAGAGATCATACGAAGAATATGAAAAGATAAACTACAGATTAGGAGAAATACTTACAAACTACACATCTAACAAAAATTAGTATAAATAATACACAAAGAACTCTCAAAACTCATCAGCTTAAAAATATTCAAATTAGAAAATGGACAAAAATATAAATGTACATTTTACCAAACAGGATATACAGATGGCAAATAAACCTGTGAATAGATGTTCAACAATCATCAAGGAAGTGTGAATTTAAAGCACAATGAGACACCACTACACAGCTATCAGAAGACTAAAACACAAAAATAGTGACAACAACAAGTCGTGGTGATTATGTGTAGAAATTAGCTTATTTATAAACTGCTGGTGGGAATATAAAATATTAATGATAAAATCACTCTGGAAAATAATCTAGCAGTTTCTTAAGAAACTAAATATGCAAATACCATATGATCTTATCATTGCAATCTTGGGTATTTTTGTAAAAAAACACCTTCATGTTCACACATAAACAACTCTACATGAGTATTCATAGTAGCTTTATTTAAAATAGTAAAAAATTAGAATTAATCCTCATGTCTTTTCATATAGGTGAATGGTTAAATAAACATTGACACTGTGTAATACTACTCAGTAAAAAGAATGAACAAAATATTGAAATATGCAGCAATTTAGATGGCTCTCCAGGGAACTATCCTGAGTGAAAAAAGCCAATCCTCAAAGTTGACAATACTGCATGATTTTACTTATATAAAATCTTTAAAATGAAACAGTTTCAGAAATAGAAGACGTAGTCATGGTTGTCAAGAGTTAGATATGGGGAATGGGTAAATGGGAAGGAGGTGGGTGT